CGAAGAGAAGGAAACTACGTGTGACGTATATGCGAGGTTGGGTCGGGGTGTGCGGCCTCGTATGCGGGGCGTACGAGGATAAGATTGAAAACCCTAATTCAAGAGTTGTACCATATATAAGCATAATGTTAAGCCTCCTTCTTCATTACAAGTCAGCCCCCATCCTCTAAAACCCTAGAAATCGTCCTTAATCATTCATGGTGGCATTTTGAGCTTATGGAGTCCATTTTTGGAGTGTTTGGTCCATTTCCAAGAAGGTGAAGTTTGATGCAAAGATGGGGATCAAGGAGAAGCTTATGGATATGGATTTTGTGACTCATTTTCAGCTTGATGAAGGTATAAAGCTTTGAACTTGATCATTGGTGTCTTAGATCTACTATTTATGGGTTTTTGTTCATTTTGGTCCCAAGTATGAGATCTAGTGGTCTTGATTTCATTCCAGGAGCTTTGAGTTGCCCTTTTTAGTGTTTTTGAGGTCCAAGGTCCATAAAGTTGGCACCTTTAGAGTTTAAGACCATCTATGCTGGAGTTTGAGCCATTTCCATGAAAGTAGAATGTTATTTGGTGTTTTGGGGCATGCAAAGTCACAAAGTCAGTGACTTTATGGGTTTAGACGTTAGTTGGGACTCAGATCTGTGGTTTGGATTTGTTGGACCAAGCATTAAGATCTTAATCAGGATTTGGCTTAATGGAGTGGTACGTTGGGCGTATAAGTTTGTACGCGCAACGTACAAGGCAAACAGCCTGTACGCTTAGCGTACAGCCTGCGTACTCGGTCAGATTGGATATCATGTTTGTGGGCCTCGGGTTGGGCCATTTCTTGGACTAAGTTGCTGTGGGCCTCGGGTTGGGCCATTTTCGAATTGTTCCCATTTTGGATTGGTGATCATGTGCTCCCCCCACTGAAAAGGCTTGGGCCCAATTTGGAAAATTGGGCCATAATTGGGCCTTGATGATTATGAGTTATTGGACTATCAGAATGACAAGTGTTTGGACTAGAATAGATGGTTGGGCCTTAAGGTAAGACCATGTAGAGGTTTTAGCCCAATTTGGAAAATTGGGCCATATGTTGGGCCTTGGTTGATTATTTGGCTTTTGGGCATTTAGAGTGTGAGCTGGGCCTTGGTTTTGAACCAAGTTAGGTTGGGTAAAATGGTCCATTTACCCCAAGTGTGGATTTAAGGTTATGCAATGAAACCCAAATGGTTAATTGGGGGTTTTTTTATGATTGACAGTTCGAGGATCAGTCAGCCAGCAGCCAGAGATTTATTCGCGAGACTTCAGCAGTGTGAGGCGAGTCTCCTCACCATACCAATGGGTCAAAGGCACCAAGGCCGTCTCATTATGTGTTGTGAGGTATGCTAGTTGAGTATGCGTTATGTGGTATGCTAGTTGATTATGTGGTATGTGATATGCTAGTTGTCTTTGTGATATTTGCATGAAAGACCATGGGGGGAGCCCATGACACTTGGATATCAGACAATGTGGGGGAGCTCATTTGATTCCAGATAAAGACCATGGGGGGAGCCCATGACACTTGGATATCGGGACCATGTAGGGGAGCCCATGACATTCCAGATAAAGACCATGGGGGGGGGAGCACATAACACTTGGATATCAGACCATGTGGGGGAGCCCATGGTTTTCCAGTAAAAGACCATGGGGGAGCCCATGACACATAGGTGTAAGACCCTGGGAGGAGCCCATGACATCCTCGAGTAAGACCTTGGGGGTGCCCACGGCATCCGTATATGTTTATATGCATGGGTTATGTGATTGATATGGTTTATGTGATTATGTGGATTATGTGGGGTATGCTTTAGGGAACTCACTAAGCTTCATGCTTACAATTTTGTTTATGGTTTCAGGTATCATTGGTTTGGAAAGGAAGGGTCCGGCTTTATCGCAGCACGCACATCCTTGTTTTCCGTAATATGTGATTTTGGAACGAACTCTAATAAATGTTTTTAATTAGCAATGTTTTTGGAAAGCTTGGATTTAAAAGATATTTGTGTTTTGACTATAATAAATATAAAATTTTTACCTTTGATTTTTGGGTCATTACATTTTTTTTCAAAATATTAGAATTTTAATATGAGATTTCAATATCACGATTTTGTATAAAGTTTAAATTACATTTTCAATATTTTATTCAAAATGCCATCGCTTTATTATTTTTTTCCAAGGTTCTAAATAACGTAAGGCGTGACTTGGCGGCAATGTCAAACCTCAAACTTTTCCGAGCCTTGGCGAGCCACGTCGTTTGTAAGGCGTGATTTAAGACGAGAATTTTGCATATAAATCATATTTTTATATGTATTTTCTAATATTATTCATTTTTATACACATATATGAGTCAAAACAGCGTTTTGATAAAGCTTGGCAGCACATACAAGTCTTGGAGTCATGACGAGTTTTTTAGAACCTTATTTTTTTTCTTAATGGCTAATGATGTTTTTGACATTTTGTTTTTTATTTTTTTTATTTCTGGACGCTGGAGGGTTTGTTTTTAATTTATTATGAATTTATGATCCGAATCTATTATTTTAATATATGTATAATATACACAATCATATTAATAAACTAAAAATCGATCCAAAACTAGTGATGTATTTTTTATACATTTAGAATGACATAAAGTTATTTTCTTGTTATTTCATGTTAAACTATCCAAATTGATAACTTTTTAACATGTTTTTCAAAAGAACCAAATAAAACTGTTACTTTCTAACTAAAAAATAAAAAATACAATTTTTTGTATAATTATTATAATTTGGTTGTTGAACTAATTCTTCAAAATTGAGCATAAAATAAGGAATTCCTTAATAACAAAAGCACGACAATGACACTATGTAAATCCAAATATACATGTTCTGTTTAATTAATTATGTCATTTATCATCAGTTTTGTTCGTATATATTTGCCAAAGAAAAAAAATAATGTTATTTATTTTCATCAATTAATTTCTTGAAATTTATTTAATTTGTTATTATATTAGTTGTGAGACTTATGTATTACATAGGTTAATTTAAATAAAAAAAGCTAAATTTATATGTCAAAATATTTAAGAGTTTTGAATTTATAAGAAAATAAAAAATAATGAATTATTATAATAGAATGTTTTTTATCTTTTAAATTTAAAAAAAAATAATTTAAATAAATAACAGAAACTAATGAGCTTTAATTTTGAGAATTTTGAAATTAAAAGATAAGTTCATTAATGAAATTGATATTTATTTATTACTATATTTATTGCAATTATTATATTAAAATATTATATGAAATTTAATAAAATAAAAAAACTCATAAAATGACATGTGAATTCAAAATAACGACAAAATAATATTTAACAAATTGATTGAGAATGACACAAGTAGCAAAAAAAAAAAAAAAAAAAAAGTAGAAATTTTTTAATAATAAGTTTAAATCATAGATATCTAAATGAGAAAATCACATAAATGCCTTACAAACTTTCTAGGGTTGACCTTTTAAGTCCCTAAACTAATTTCGTGTCTTTATAGGCGCATAAGGTTAGAAGCAACCTGTCTTTTTAGTCCTTCTAACCTATTATAACAGGTTTCAGGGACACATAGGCTATTTCCCATTTAAAAGTCAAAATCAGATTTTGACTTTCTCAAAATTGATTTCCATTTTGCTCTTATTATATACAAACAAACCATAAACATCCCCTTAATACTTCCTGGGCAGCCGAATCTATCCTGTAATCATGATTCTTCTCAAAATCAACGTCTTTTCCTGAAGGTGAATGTGGATGCAGTTTGAAAGAATGGAGGGCATATCATGAAGGTGAATGTGGGAGAGTTTTAGATGGCGTCGTATGTCCCACCAATGACATCACATATTTTTAATCTACTATGTCCAACAACCGGAGACCAGGCACGAAACAGAGTGGTTTGTTCGATCTGGTGGTTTTGATTTTGGAATAAGGCTTTGGCTTCAATATATTTACTGTCTCGATTTTGGGTTTTGATTGGTTAAAAGGTAGGGTTTCGATTTTGAATTTTTTGTTTGGTTATTGTGTTACAGTCTCGTTTTGTTGGTAACTTCATCATCATCCCTTCTCCAACATCTATAGGTTCCACCCACGAATCCAAGTTTCTACATCGTGTCTCTATCACACATCTTCTTAAATCAAAATCTTTGCAATTGGTAATGTTTAATTGATAATGAACACATATATGTGAATAATGAGGAATAATAAATTAGTGTTTTGGAAGGTGGGTTCAGACTGCAGCAAAGTTGAAGAAGACTAGTTTTACATACAAAAAAAAAACCATTGAACGACAGTGGTGGGTTGAATTAAGATAACTCCACTATGACCAAGTCAAAGAAATGCAGGGGGTACAAGTTGCTAATGCATGAGGTACAACTTACAAGTTTATTGGATTCTCCTCCCACACACAGAAACACGTGGCGGAAGACGACGCTGTTGTTATCAGCTGCTAGACGTAAAATGACGCCGAGAAACTTCGTATCCAACGAAACAAAAGGGTAATCGTCGATGAAGGATGAAATTATACCAAAATCGTGTTCCAGATTATCGGCGTTCACAATTCGCGTGAGAACCGGTAGCATAGGAGACGAGAAGTTGCCGATCGACATTAGAACGGCAGTAAGAAGGCTCTCTGTTGGATGATTTAGAAATGGGAAAAAAATGGAGCGAAGAAGATGAATAGTATTGGGTTAAAGAATAATTGGTCAACAAACATCTGGTGTGACAAAGGGTAACCGGATGACCCCTTCATTTTGCCTAAAAGGACCTAATCAACTCGACAAAGTGTAATTTGTTCCCTTATAAAGCCACAAAATAAATTAAGTGTCTAAATAGATAAACCCCAAAAACATAATAGGACATATATATGTCATTTTTACTATCTAAATAGAGGAAATAAATATTAATTTGAAGAAAACAATTTTCAACGAAAGCAACCCTCTCTAAGCCCCAAAGGCTCAAACGGTGTTTGCTTGTAGCCACGAAACACCAACCACAATCATCTAACGCATACGGCGTACAATAGCACTCAACTACGCAAATTGCTGAATATACGCCACAATCCTGTTACGACAAACCCTCTTCGCTTCACCGCCACTTGCTTCATTCTCTCTCTACAATCAAAGACTTATGGAGTTTCTAATCAATTAAATTCCCAAAAAATTTCAAACCCTAGCAGAAATTGACAATGGCTTCGATTCATATATTGAAATCCGGTTTATATCCGTTTTCAGCTTCGCAATCGTATTCTCGTAGGAAAGAACGGTTAATTTGTTGTGATGGCAGAAGATTTATCAAGTTCAGGTCAAAATTATTGATTAACAGAAGGTTTACGATTTCCTGCAAGGTTCAAGACTCTGAAGATAACCAAAACAAAGGTATAGCTTCTCTCCTCACATATCTTTACTTATTAGGTTCAAATCAATCGCATGATTAGATCAACAAGTGTAGCGGAGTATCTAATTTGCTGTAATGTATAGTTGTGTGTTCTTTTTCGATATTCTATCAGATGATGAACTTGTAGCGGTTTCACTTTCCATATAACACCTTGAATATGTTCTCTGTTGAATTAAATTCTTCGGATTGAGACATAACAGATCCATTTTTGTGTTTAATTAGCATCTATGTGGTGTCTGATGGAGTAGGGTAGTAGTGGGCCTGTAACTTCTGGTTATTGCAATCTGTAATCCAGTAAGTTCTGTAGAACTGTACTTTATCCTTGAAGTATATCACTCCATATGGAATAGTGTAAACTGTAAACTGTTCAACATAATTGTCTGATCTTTTCATTGTCAACAGGTGAAGAACCTACAGAGTCTTTGTTTATGAAAGAACTGAAGCGACGTGGTATGACTCCAACTTCATTATTAGAGGAAAGTCGGAGCACTTCAAAAGATGAGAACTTTATATACAAAGAAGATGGAGGTTTTTCAAATAGAAATGCTGTGTCAACAGATCTTGAGAAAAGTCTATCTAATCAAAGGGAAAGATCTATGGCTTTGAACAGTGAAGGCCTTGAGGTTCAAAGATTCCTACCTTCTTTAACTTCTTTATGAAATAGTTTTTGTTCAAAAAAAAAAAAGAAACCTTTTTATAAGCCCTCATTCTTTTTAATTATCATAGTCTTTGTGTTATGTATGTATATCAGGGTTTGATTCCACGAGCTAAACTCTTGCTAACCCTTGGAGGAACATACTTCTTGGCATTTTGGCCTCTGATTCTTGTAACTGTGGCATCTTTCTCTGCTGTTTACATTGTAAGCTTTCTGATCTTCATATTTGTAAGCTTTTTAATAGATTTGTTTTTTTTTTTTTAATCAATGTTTTAATTTGCAGTATTTTGGACCAAAATTCGTCCATGATGCCAGCACACGACAAGTATACCTGCCCCAATATGTCGACCCGTACGTACTTCTCGAAGACCAACAGATCTCCCAAACCGCACCAAGGTTAAATTAGTAAATTCAAGTCCACAACTCTCTCTCTCTCTATACATTGTAAAAACATGTAAATGTAACCAAGTTTCATTCAAGACACTTGTAAATACACAATGAAAAGTTACCTCTAGTAACTTTATGTTAAAACTCACCATTCCCAATATCATATAACCCTAATCAATCTAACCAAACCCTAACAAACTTAACCGAATCGATACGGTTAGTTAGGAACTTAGGATACGGATTCAAACGGTTCGAATGATTGAACCGAAGTAATAAGCCCGCGGGTCGACCCGACTGCTGCCACTAGTGATACGATTAAGCATGCGAGACTTAGAATTTGCATCCAAATCCATGTGAATGAGTACTTTCGGATCTTTGCTTGTGACATGTATAATTCTATTGGGAAGTAGACTGATAGTGGCCAAAATGTACCCGCTCCAAGTAGGCCCACAAAGTCGTTGAAGAATGGAAAAATCATTGCTATTATTGTTGTTACGATCACATACGCTGTTCTCCATGTGAGTCTGAAAACGTTGAAATCGGTTCCAAATATCGAGAACTCGTTTGTTATGAGCTTATTTTGTGGCCATTTTTTCTTGCTCCAATTTTCGACAAATCCGAAAAATGGTTGCGCCAATACCTAGAGAATTGATCGCAAAGTGTCAAATATAACATTTTTGTGAGAAGACATGATAGAACTGGTTGTTCTGCGTTTGACAGACTAAGAGTGATATAAGTGGGACAGAGATTGCAATTTTTCCCATACAAAAATGTAAAAAAAGATGGGACATATATTCACTCTTAATCCGAAAAAGATGTGAATGTTTTTATCACTAAAAATATCCCTAAAAAGCTTGTTCAGTCCTGTCCAGTCCGGTCTAGTTTAATCAGTAGTAGTATTTTACTTGATAAGCACCAAGAAGATGAATAACAATGCAAATATTAGCAATATCGATGAGCCAAAACGGATCGTAAAATCCGAATCCAGTCAAGAAGTTTCCGGGTGCATCATTTCCGAAGGCCGCGTATCCGAGCACCCCGCAAAGCATATAGAACACAGTTGATGCCGCGATTCCAATGGCTGTAGCCACTTTCATTTGTTTATTCTCTGGTGGACTAGATTTCAATGTGTCCTGTAATTTTTTAAACGAAGATCACTAAAAATTCTTTTAAGACTGCAACATGAGAATGTTATTTTTATAGGAAATTTTAATCAACTTGCCTGAATCTCGATGAGGACGAAACAAAACGAATAGGCAAAAGCAACATCTCCTAAGGCAGAAAAGGTTTTCCACATTTTCTCCATGCCCGAAAAATCCTTATCAATTGGTCTTCCTGTTATACTCGTCTCTCCAATTCCTTCATCTGTCAACACCAAAAAAAATCTAAATCAATAAAAAGACCAATTAATGATATTTACATATGTCCGGAGTATATTTAGATTAAACTTGACATGATGGGAACTTTATAATGATATTTTCAATGGTGAGATGAGAATGACAATTACTCTTTTGCACAAATAAGAGAGTGACAATTTTTGTCCGACTGACACCAGTCTTAAGTCTCAGTTCACAGTATAATTTGTTCTGTCATGTTATGTATAATATGTGTGACATTAACACTGACCTATGATTTTGGCGATTGAGAGACCGATGCCAATCAACGAGTATGTGAAGGACATGATAGCCGCGATGATTGAGAGGGGCGACAATTTATGAAAATTGGGCACTTGGCTTAAGACGATCTGAATGACTGCAAAAATCACCATAAACGAGTTGTTGTGCACACTACAATCCGCTTGGTGGCCATGTTTATGGAAACAATTTGATTTGTTGATTGCACTGATAAACGAAATGTAAACAAATATAAATACTATTAGAAAACTTTAACTTAATTATGAATGGGAAAAAGGTGATAGTGTTGTGAACTTACGCCATGCTGATGGCAGTGGTGGTGGTGTATCCGATGGTTATTCCGGTAAGAACACCATATTGAGCTATGCCACAAAGCTTGTATTGAAGTGTTCCTAGAATGCGAATAATGAAAATTGTAAATGATTATTGTGATCGTGTAAAAATAAAACTACTGAACTAAATAGATTATAGATTTGGAGTTTTAATAAATACAAGTTTAATATTCAAAATAAAGTCAGGGCATTTAATATATTAAAAAAACAAAGTATATATTCGTTGTGATTTGTGAAAGCAAGTATAACATGTGTTTAAACTTTAAAACGATTTAGTGCACTTTTTACAACGATAATCACTTTTATTAGTATTCTATAACGATAATATTTAGTAATAAATAATTTGTAATTTGTTAAAACATTTATCACATGTAATTTCAGAACCACAGAGATGGTTTATTTGTAAAAATGTAAAATATACAAGGAAAGTACCTTTTAATATACATTCATGATTCGTATGAGATTTATATAGATAAAGATTTTCTTGAAGTTCAAAATTAAATTTATGACAATTAATAAATTAACATATCCTGGTATTTTTTATCTTATTCTTCAAGAATCTTTTTTCTAATCATTTTCATTTTAAAGGCAATCAAGTTTATTACTATTCATTTTTGACCAAACTATACAGACAATCACTTTATTCAGCCGGGTTGGTGGAGCCTATATATGTCCACACATAAATGTCTCTAACGTAAAATTTAAAACCTCACCAAACAATTGAGATATAGTTTTGCACATGTGTCATACTTTCGAGCATATAAAATCTGATTTTATTAATTGATATATTTGGTTAGAAGTTTTAGGAGGAAAAGGTAATATGAAAAGAATTAATAAATGGAAATAAAGTTATATTTTGGAAGAAAAAAAAGAAAAAGAGACAAAAGATTTACCAAGATTGGCTTTTACAGCATCCATGTAAGTATAGTTTCTTTTGCCAGTAACTGGATCCGGTGATCGGTAACAATCAGTCAACAAAATTGATGTAAACATTGTAATGACCGAAAACAAAGCAAGAGTAATCGATCCAGCTATCCATCCCAACTGTGCAAAACACCATGCTAATGATAAAACTCCCGACCCAATCACTGCTGTTATTATATGTGCACTCGCACTCTTCCAAGTTCCTTTATTAATTCCATAAACAAAATATTAACAATCATATAGAATTTCATAGATACTGTCTATATGTAAAATATTGGAGTCCAATATTGTTTTTCCAAAAGAAAGAAAAAAAGACTTCACTTTTATGTGAACTGAACTCACCTGTTCGTTTTACTCTGCCATCATCATCGAACTTCTCGTTAGGAAGATACCCTCTTTCTGCTATTGAAAAACTCGACATGTTTTGCTTTACTTTTCTTTATTTTTCTTGGAAATTTGATGACTGAATATAGAGGAAAAGTTGGGGGAAATGTAGAAAAATGAAGCCGGGAATGTTTAAATTTGATCCCTAGTTTAGGGATACAGTTGAAGAGTGTCCATGATATTTATAGGGTGTCAAAAAGTTGTATGAAGGCGAAGTTGTTTTCTGATGGGTACCCACAAATTTTATATTACCAAATAAAAATAATATAAAATTTAATAGGCTCTAAAAATTCCTTAACATTAACCATACTATATGTTTAAATCTTGTAAACTATAATTTAACATATAATTGTTGGTGATGGAAGAGATTTTACCGTTAGGGTGTGAGATTAAAAAACTTTCTTTTACCATATCGACGAATGCATGTTTTACAACGAACTTATAACCTAAGAAAAAGCTCAAATTAAAAAAAAAAATCGTCTAGGAATACAAATTTAAAATTTTTATTTTAGAACAAAAAACTCTAATCCAAAAAATATTCTAACGGTTTTTAAAAGCCCCCGTCACCTACACCCTGCATAATATAACAAAGTTATTAGGTTCACTTTAAAAATCCATGTATTTATTTATTAAACGTTCTTTTATATGATTTTATATTTTTAAAAAATTTACAAGCATTTTGTCAAACACTTATACACATTTAAAAGCTACAACTTTCGACTTCTGATAATACATACAACGTGTAACTACATACATGTTACTTTTTACCAAACATGTCCAACTCCATGGTATTAATTAGGGGTGTTCGCGGTGCGGTTTGGGGCGGTTTAGAGTTGAAACCGCAAACCGCACCGCACATGCGGTTTGAGTTTTTTGGAAACCGAAAACCGCACCACAAAAACTCTAAACCACATTATGCGGTGCGGTTTCATGCGGATGGTTTGTGCGGTTTATATGCGGTTTGATAAGTTGTTTCAATTTATAACTTTGGTTGTTATTCATTCCATTTAAACACTTTCAAAATTTATTAATTATATTACATACCCTTTAAAAGACATAGATATAGCAAACAAAAAAACCACATAATGTTTTGCTAAGTTGTTATGACTTATGAAATTTGATATCATAGTCTTTTAA